TTTAAACGTCATTTTAAAAACGCATTCATAAAAGACGTCTAAAAGATGTCTTCCAAACGTCTATAAAAGTGCGTCTTTACCTAGACTAGTTTTAGACGTCTATAAGTGTCTAAGATGCGTCTTGTGCTTACTGGGTATAAGCTGTTTATTAAAAATGCCTTTGGGGTTAAAATGGCAAAAATTTCATGGAACTAATTTTCCCCTATTATTTTTTAATGAAAAAAAAAGTTTAAAATTTTTATTTTTTAAATTATTTATAACAATACTAAGAAATTTAATTATGAAATATTGAAAACTTTTTATAAAAATGTGTCCTACTTTTTTTTTTTTTTACTTTTTTGGTTAATTCTTACTAATTTCACTTGGACTGAAAGAAATTAAAATTGAAAGGGCTCACAGAACTGGAATCAGAGACGGCAAAAAAGTAAGATCTATAGTACTAAAATTACTAAATTATAAAGATAAAGAAAGAATCCTAAAAAATTCTTCAAAATTAAAAGGCAAAAACATATATATAAATGAGGATTATTGTGCGGAGACGGTACAAATAAGAAAAGAATTACGGATGGAAATGAAAAAAGCTCGAGAAGGTGGGAAATTCGCGTTTATATCATACGACAAGTTGATTGTACGAGAATGGTCTCCAAAAGAAAAGTAAATATTTTATGTTTCTTCTAGCTTAACGGTACCTTTTATTTTTCCTTTTTTTCATATATATGATTTAGATTGTTATTATATTCTACTTTTTTAAAAATGGATGATAATCTTTTATTAAATTTGAATACTGAGAGTGATGATGACTATTTCAATAAAAAAAACTTTGAAAGTGAGTATTATTCAATCCGTGAAGCTACTCATTTTTTGTGTCAAAAAAATAAAATAAATAGTTTTTCAATTTTAAATTTAAACATTCGAAGTATCAATAAAAATTTTGATAATCTAAAATTATTATTGCATGATCTAAATCATGATTTTCAAATAATTACTCTAACGGAAACGTGGTTGAAAAGCAATGAAAAAAACTATAATTATGAGCTAAGTAATTACGTGTCAGTCCACCAACCGCGTCAAAACCACGTTGTCGGTGGTGGTTTAAGTATCTTTGTTCACAAATCTATTAACTTTGAATTGCGTAACGACCTCAGCGTTAACGAAACAGATTGTGAGTCGTTATGCATTGAAATAAATAATAAAGCGACCAAAAATATAATTATTAGTTCTATTTATAGAAAGCCATCTGGTAATTTAAAAAAGTTTTATACCTATCTAAAAACATTTTTAAGCAAAATTAACATTACAAAGAAACACGTGTACTTAACTGGTGATTATAATTTAAACTTGTTAAATCATGCTTCAAATCTAAATGTTCAATGCTTTTTAGATACACTTATACAATACGATATCATTCCCACTATAAATAAGTCGACGAGAATAACTAAGACTTCGTCGACCTTACTAGATAACATATTTACTAATAATTTTCATAATTGCGCTTTAGAATCGGGTATAATTAAAACTGACATAACAGATCATTACCCAATATTCTTAACTACAGATAATATAACCCTTAATCATTCTGTCTCTAAATCAACAATATCAATGCGACAAATCAATAAAAACTCCATAATATATTTTCGAAATCTTTTATCTGAAAAAACTAACTGGGATCTTATATTACAATCGCAAGATGTGAATAATGCGTATGAATTATTTTTGGCGCAGTTTTGTAAATACTATGATTTGGCATTTCCAGTTATAAAAAAAATTATAAATCCTAAATCACTTTTAAACCCTTGGATGACCAAAGGTTTACTCAAATCATCAAAGAGGAAACAAAACCTTTATGAAAAATATTTAAAACATAAAACATATAAAAATGAAACAAAATATAAAAATTATAAAAACTTGTTTGAAAAAATAAAGAAACAATCTAAAAAAAATTATTATGCAAAATTGCTAGAAAAAACACATGGAAACACACAAAAGACGTGGAATGTAATTAAGCAGATAATCGGTACAAATAAATGTCAAAATAATAAATTGCCAGAAAAACTTTTAGTTGACGGGGATATAATTTATAATAAAGAAGTCATAATTAACAAGCTCAACAAATTTTTTCTTGATATTGGACCAAAATTAGCTGATAAAATTCCAAAAACCAATTCAAACAGCTTCGAATCTTATATAAATACACCCAACACATCTATGATAGAATCTAATTTAAACTTAAGTGAGATGCGCAATGCTTTCAACTGTCTAAAAAATAATAAATGTGCGGGCATTGATAAAATTAGCGTAAATGTAGTTAAAGCTGTGTTTGATATTATTGAACCATCACTGTTTCACATTTTTAATCTTTCTTTAAAATCCGGTATTGTACCGGAGAAATTAAAAATTGCTAAGATTATACCTATTTTTAAAAGTGGCGATGATACAAATATGTCCAATTATAGACCTATTTCTGTCTTACCATGTTTCTCTAAATTGTTAGAACGAATTATGTATGATAGACTTAACAACTATTTAACTGAGAACAATATTCTGTATAATAAACAATTTGGGTTTAAAAAAAATCATTCAACAGACCATGCAGTAGTCGATCTAATAAATTATGTATCCAATGGGTTCAATAATGATTGCTATACATTAGGAGTTTTTATTGATTTGTCAAAAGCATTTGACACTGTTAATCATGATATTCTAATAAAAAAACTAGAAATGTATGGAGTATTAAACAATAACTTACAATGGTTTAAAAGTTACCTTTCAAACAGGAAACAGTACATAATATATACAGAAAATGAAGAAAAAAAACATATCATAACTTGTGGTGTTCCCCAGGGATCAATCTTAGGGCCCTTATTATTCATACTGTTCATTAATGATTTGTATTTAGCATCCAAAATTCTAAACGTTATTTTGTTTGCTGATGACTCAAATCTTTTTTGCTCTAACAGAAATATTAAAGATCTGTTTAGAATTTTTAATGAAGAGTTATTAAAAATAAATGAATGGATTACGAATAATAAACTTTCATTAAATGTTGGGAAAACTAAATTTATGTTGTTCCACAAACCTAGTAAAGGTGATAACCTTTTTTTAAAACTACCTGATCTCTTTATGAACAAAAAAGTTATTAAAAGAGAGTCAACTATTAACTTTCTAGGAGTGATATTAGATGAAAATATATCATGGAAATATCATATTAGATCTATTGAAAATAAAATCTCCAAAAATATTTCAATGCTATATAAAGTTAAACCTTTTCTTAATACGGAATCTTTAAAAATTATATATTTCTCATTTATTCATAGTTACCTTTCCTATTGTAATCTTGCATGGGCAAGTACCAATTATGGGAAGCTCAACAAAATTTATAGCAAACAAAAACATGCTTGTAGGATTATTTTTGGCGTTAACAGAACTGTTAATGGTGAATCTCTTTTAAAGAAACTTAATGTGCTTAATATTTACAAACTTAATATATACCAAGTTATCCTATTTACGTTTAAAACAAAACATGCGTTATCTCCTAATATATTTCAGTCTTACTTTACCGAAATATCTCATAAATATCCCACTAAATTTTCATCTGATAATTTTGTTATTCCAAGATCTTATTTAAAACTCAATTCATTTCAAATTCAATACCGGGGACCATTTATATGGAAAGGTTTTTTAAAAAATATAATTAAAAATAAAATTCTTCGAGGCATCTCCTTAGAACAATTCAAAAGAGAATCTAAACGTTTTCTATTAGAAAAAACTTTCGATTTTAAAGATTTCTTCTAAAAATCACCAAAAATAATTAAACCTGAAAAAGTCATCACTACTCATTTACTATTGTCTTGTGTATCTTGTTTATTTCTTATTAAAATAAAAAATATATATACTATTAATTTTGAACAGACAAATAACATTTATTCGATTTATTACTTGTGTCTTATATTTGTCGAACTAATATTGTATTGTACTTCAATTTTTAACCTTTTAGTTTTTAACTTGTAACTTTGTGACGTTAATGTAAACGGGGCTTGGCGATAAGACAGTTTATGTCTTCTTCTTGCTCCGGCCAATTTTTATACATGAATGGTTTTTTCTCATTGTAAATTTAATTATACGGCAAAGAAAATATAATAATAAAAAATAATTATATTTTTGGTTAATTATACTTACTATTACTTGCTAACAGCTTAAAGCGGTATTTAATTTTTGGCCTAAAACTCTTGCAACATATATTATAAATATCTATAAAATTTGGCTTCAAAATACATTAACAATCCTATATTTAAATTTTGCGATAATTTATTCTAAGGTAGGATAAGTTTGAGTACTTTTTTATTTTAACGCTTTGAAAGAGCCCTGAGAAATTTTTTACAATAAACAAAACTTAAAAAAATGTGACACAAAACCATACTCTTTAAGGGTAAACTTTACTATTAACGAAAAAATGTGCCAATTGGGCAACAGAGTTCAAAAAATTAAAAGAGAGGCAGCTAGCTCCGGTCTCCCCTACTTAAATTGAGCAGTATATTTAAATGGAGCATGATATAATTAAAAAATTGAAATCAGCCGCGATAAACTGTGTTTTTAACTTTAAATACTCTGTTATGAAAACTAAACGACCATTTTGGCACAAAAATGTTGCATTAAGTTTAACATTAAAAAATAACTTTATTTGTTGCTTAAGCACTAGATTATTTATTAAACGATCTTAAAATTAAAGCAAAATAAAAGAAATGCAAATCACATTGTCAGTGTAAAAAAACATTCAGATACGAGTCAAATAAAACTGAATGTACATCTTCTGATTTTTTAGAAATATTTCTATGCAAAACAGTCAGGTTTATACAATTCGAATAAATTAATTTCTTGGTCTTTTAATATAATTAAAAGAGGAAATTACCAGGAAAAGTATTTTTAAATATTATAACGTTTAGTAAAAGAGTTAAAATATAAAATTTTAATAACTTTAAAATACATAAAATTAAATCTCTTACATTTGCGTAAGGTAAATTTCCAATCAAAGGAGCTGAAGGATAAAATTGCTGGGGTTGATTGCTGTTTTGATATTGAGGTGTAATTCTAAAATCTGGTTGTTGCTGCACAGAGATTGTTGTGGATTCGTAATAAGGAGGTGGTTCAGCTTATAAAAAGAAAAAAACAAATATTTTTTATTACTCTTTATTTATTAACATTTTTAAGTTTTTTGGAAATTTTCAGATTCAAAGTTGCTTAAAAATTATAATTCCTGTAATGATTAATATTATTTATAAAAGGATTTTATTATTTTTTTATCGGTAGAACTTCTGTAACAATTTTTTTTTTTTTTCTTATTTTTCTGCCCCAAGAAGACCTAATAGTCTTGTCACAAAGCACCATGGAAGTGCACTTAACCAGGAAGTTCACGCCTCCTTCCTTACAGTGACGCGAAAATATGTTCAAAGTTCGTTTCAAACCTGGATCTTGCTTAAACAGTAAGCGCACTAACCATTGCGTTACGGTTGCACATAATTATATAATACTATAATCTTAACACATTAATGTACACTAACATATTATTATAAGATACAGTTTATTATTATGCTAAATTTTTTTTGCTTGGTAATTTTTGCATCGCAAAATTTTTTAAGATATTGTATTATAGTATTTCCTCCTCCGGTGAATTGCCTTATAGAGGAAACATAACAAGACCCGCGAAGACGAGTCCAGCTCACAAAAGATCATCATAATCCGTCTCGACGGACCAAGAGTGATAAAGTTTGATAAGAACAAAGAATATTGCTCTTGATGTTAGAATGTGCAATTATACATTCAAGAATTATATCATTATAAATTATTTTATAATACATTACCTTGGTGGTTGAAAAATTGGTGGTTTTTGTAGTTATGAAAAATTATAAATTTTTTTCGAAATATAAACTTAAATATTTAACACGTCTAAAAATCGTATTTAAATGTGGTAACACAATTTTTAGACGATCATAACACGTCTTGTATTTACTGGGTTTAAACCTTTTAAATAAATTTATCAAAAATTTTAAAACTTTATATATACAACTATATGTAAAGTTTGGCGTAGGCTATAATCTTTTTAATGCATAAAAATTTATATGTATATCTACCAATATATGTACTCTATTAAGTACAATAGAGTAGGAGTTAACGGTTTAACTTCAAGTTCAAATATTTTTTTAAAGAAAAAATGTTTTATGTTTCTTTTTTTTGTTTAATGAAAAAGTTTGTTAAGTTATATAAATATATAAAAGTTTAAAAAAACATTTCGAAAATTTAAAAATAAATCAATTATGAAAAAAAAAAAAGTTTACTTTTCCCTTCATAGATGGGGAAAAGTAAATTTTATTCAAATATACACAAAAAACAAATAATTAGTTAAATAAATTTGAATAGTTTTAAGATTTGCAGCTTTTTTTCATACGAAAAAAGCTGTCTCCAATTTTGTATTTTTGGGGTAAAGACGATCAACAAACCTAAGATTTGAAACTAAAAACTTTACATTGATACCACATGTTGTTTTGAGTTAGCATGTTTCATTCCAAACTCTGCGACACTTTTTGTATCTCTTGATGTCTTTGTCTTATTTCAGTTTTCTCAAATAATGCACTCCCTGATTTTTATCTAAATCTTTAGTGATGTCAATCTATTTATTTCTTTTGATTCTTTAACTGTTTTTTTTTTTTTTTTTTTTTTTTTTCAAGTTGATTATGGTGCCCCAAGAAGTCCTTACGGTCTTATCACAGAGCACTGTGGAAGAGCAATAAATAGGAAGTTCAGTAAGTGAGAAAAAAGTTATAGTTCCAATCAAGGAATATTTAGACTATTTTTTTATATCACAGTAATATCATGCTTGCAGTAATATATGTTTATATTATTATTTTGCCTTTTAAATCCCATTGAATTAAACAGAAAAAACCGCAAAACCTATAGCAGTATAGTTTACTCAGCGCAATTAATACAGCGTGAACACAAAATTAGATCACCAAAAAAAAAAATGACGCAAAAAAACTTTAAATTAATGGTGCACATGCATTTTTTGTGGAATAATTTTCAAAATGTGTCAAAACGTAAAAAAACAAGGCATTTTATTAAAAAAATGCAAAATATAGACATAATTTATTTTTTTCAAAAATAATTGCAAGTTTCCAATTAAGGCGCT